CCCCAAAACCCCAAAACCCCAAAACCCCTTTTTTAGAAGCCAAAATTGAGAGTAAGCTAGATTCTACATTGAGATATTGATCTGCCCTACATCATTATGTGACTGTGGAAGTTTATGCTTCAACCTTGGATGCTTCCCTCTAAAGATTCTTTTCTTAATAGTCTCTTGTGTTGTCTTCTGTTTTGAAGGGCTTTTAGGTGGGTTGGTAGGATCGGAGGCTGCTATGTGTCTTAAGAACTCTTCCTCAGGGATATTTTCAAGTTTATACTTCTTATAAGCTTGTTGGAGTTTATTTATCCCGATCTTGCATTCTTAAGATAATTTCTTCCTCCGTGCGCAACTGGTCATTATTTATTTTTGCATTCTCTGCTTTGATTCTGAGAGAATCGATGTATTTAGGACGATTATAGGACGAATTATCGGAATTGAGTTTCTTAATCAGAAGTTTTAATTCCTGCATTTCTTCCCCCTCCTCTTGTCCTTTAGGCTGAGTTATTGCAGAGATATTGTTTGAATAATGATGAATTTTTTCAAGTTGATGATTCAGTTTAGTGGATATCTTCCTGAAATCTTTCTGTATATCCTCCATTTCATGAGAGTCATTGAAGTCTATATCACACTTGTGTTCAATAGACAGGTTCTTAAGATCATCAAAGTCGATGTCTTTCTGAGGAACTGACTGAAGAGAAGCAATATCATGTAAGTTTTTATTCAATCTCTTAATTTTTATGGAAGATTCTGCTAATTTAGATTGGTTCTCTCTTGCTATCTTCATAAAGTGATTAAATGAGCTCTTAAAATCTTTATTTTGTTGTTTGATTAATAGCAGACCTCCTGTGTCTGCGATCATTTTGCTAGTATCCATGCTCGCACTAAAAGACCCTCTATATTCAGACATGGAAGGATGTTGGGTGGCTTCAGAAACTACTTTATTCCCTAAAATTAAGTTGGTTGTCATACCTTGAGGCAATATTTCTAAATTGTAGCCTGATTTCAGCTTGATAGAATCTTTATGATTCTCTAATCTTCCCAGACTAAAGTCTGGGTCTCCACTTTTCTTGAAATATTTCTTTTTGACTTCTTCCTCTTTCATAGCTTGCTTCATCTTCTTTCTGAGTAAGAACATTGGCATTTTGATGTTTTTAGTCTTATGGCTAGATGGATTCTGGCTGTCATTTTTATGGCTCATAGTTTCATCTAATTTTAAGGGAGTTCTTTTGTTACGAACAAATCTTTGGTGGCTCATCGGTTGATTATACATCATTGAATGGGTTGATCCATGAGCATTACCATACATCTTTGGCATTTTATTAGAGGGAACTTTTTCAAATTTATCAAAAGAGAAGTCATTAGTGAAGTTTGTCTTTGGAGACATCTCTGGATTTGCTCATGAAGCCTTATTTTTCCTGAAATTTCTATATATCATGATATATCATACCCTTTATGTGTTTGAAATCTCATTGAAAATATTGTATTAGCATCTTCTCAAGACCTATCTTCATATTTTCTTTTAGAAGTACTTCCAAAGTCTGCTGATGAGAGTTTACTGATTCTTCTGGATGGATAAAAGTTGTACTTAGTAGGAGAATTATGGTTAAATTTACCATCTTCCATACTAAAACCCCTTGGCTGTCTTCGCTTTGATCTCTTAGTGCTCATCTTGGGTAATAAATCTTTTAAAGTAGTATTCTTCATATCATGAATCAGAAACTAAATATATTAAGAATTATCTGGTTTACATTGCTCTTCTTCTTGACTGAATTCTTGTTCCTCTTAGAAGGCTTAATAAGTTCTAAATATGGTCACTAAGAAATACTTTTATCGTTATATGAAGTTTGGCCATTAATAACCCGAGAGATCTCACTCTTTTCAGACAGAATGGGATGCTTCAGAGGCGACACATTAATTACTTCAGACTTCCTATCAGTGCATGGGTGGTTTGGAGAAATCGCATTAAACTCTTCGGTATTGTACAAGTTCTGATTTGAGCTAAAAATTATTTAGATTCCTTACTTAATAGGTATTGACAACTAAGCACTTACCGCAGGGGCTTTCTTGCAAAAATTAGTGCCATCTACAAAGAGGTAAGATCAGAAATTGTGTTAAAAATTACCAAGTACATTAGAAAGCCTGACTTCATTCTCCTGTTTCTTCTGAGGAGTGTTATCCATTCCTTAATTTGAAATAAAATTATTAGTTGGTTTGCCCATGGGGTTTTGGGGTTTTGGGGTTTTGGGG